TTTAAAATTATTCAGCTAAAGGAAGTTTTCAGGTGTCACGACCAGCATTCCTACAATAATAGTAAGGGCGTATCTTTTCGTGTGACGTTCATTTTACAGAGAAACGCTCGCGTCTCACTGATCCGCACGTGCATTTGTGTCAAAACACAACTACAAAGCTCTGGGCGTTGCGTAACTGAATAGATCAACCACTCCCTGAGCTTTCACTGAACCTGCTTAAAGAGCTGGTCAATCAAGGTGAGTTGGAGTTGTTCACAGGAACATTAAAGCGCAGCGACAAAGCAGTTTTGTCTCATTCCTAAGCTGATAAGGGATGGTGCGCTTTGTTCTGCTGTTTGAAGAGATACCAGGTGGAGCAAATCGCTAGCAAAACACAACCGTGTGAGTTTGAGAAAACTGTGACAGAAATATTTAAAGTTGTGGTCGTGCTCAAGGTTGTTTTTCAACTAGCTCAGTGCAGTTAAGTTGAATCAGTCAGCATGGATTTATTGTTTATTTTGAACTCTAGTTAACTATTCGTAGAAATATCCATTTTCTATTGAAGAAGTTCCAACATTAATCAGTTGAAATCACTTATTGATCTCCAGTCTGCTCACTTGATGGGTGTTTTTAGGGTCCTTTTTTTTTTTGCTAAACGTTGATTCGTTTGTTGAAAGAAACCCATTAGGAAGTTTTCCTGCCGGTTCTGTGAGACGTTCAGCATTTGGTGTCAGCTGTTCTTCAGATGCTCTCTCAGCGGGATTCAGTTTTCTGACATCTCCTCTGGGAGCCATTAGTAATTTTCTATTAGTTTCAAACTATTTGGTATTCTTGTTTTTTTTTATTCTGCTTCACCAGTTTGTCCAACAGAAAACGGCTTCAATAGTTTTCACTGATTATTCTTAAACAGTCACTATGCGTGGTGGATGGCAGCTTTGGATTTAAAGTTTGCATTTTGAAAAAAAGCATTTTAGCACGTTTTTTTAACTCAGTCCTTGATATCATTTACAAACAACTTGTTTCAAATCAGCCTGAACCAAATGTCAGTCAGATCCAAAGAGGAATGATCACAACATCACCAACCAACCGGTCTGACAGACATGTGGAAGAGGTGACTTAAGGCCAATTCTTTGTTTACCTAATGTCTGGATGAACAGGCAGCTCAGTGCGTTGTGTGTTTCATTCATCATGTGACATTATAAAATAAGAACCAAAAAGATGCCAGCATTAAAGGAGGTAAACGTTTTAATATGTTTTTATTACCAAGCCTTACACGTTAAACATGTTTAAATCATACCTGCAAACTTGTCACTTTTTGGTGAAAATGGCCAATGTCAATCAAAAATATGTCATTTACGTGAATCGTCTAGATCTTAAGAGGGTTTTTTTTGGGGGGGGGGGGGGGTCATAGGCATGGTAGATGGCATTGTTTCCTATTGACTGGATTTACGTAGCACTAAGCTAGCGCTACTTAAGTCGCACTCTTGCAATAAAGCTCACATTAGCTCATAAGCGCTAACTAGCATAGCGCTACGTGTGTCGGGAGTTGTGGACCGGGTGGTGGCGGTGGAGTTATGATACGTTACAGAAGCGGAGCGCTAGGTCCATAGCATCTCAGCTAGCGTGTCTGTATTGCGTGCTACTAGCTTAGTGCTATGTATTTAAGAAATTAGTTTTTGCTCTTAACAAAATGCTTTGCTACATAAATTTTTTTTCTGGTTGGCTTGCTGCTGTTGTTGCTTGTTTATTTATTTATTTAATTGATTGACACCATCTTTCCTATGTATGTCCCAATTAAAATAGGATATGTTATTAAATGTCTTTTTTTTTTAAACCTGAGTCGTGCTGGCTTTTCCCCTAATTTCCTTCTTGGAGTGTACCAGAATGCTTAATTTACATGTTAAAAATTACAAAATCATGGGGGGTGGGTGGGCACTGGATCCCCCCACCCCCACCCACAGGTGCTAGGTTTGTCTTCACAACTATCTGTCTTTTTGAGTTTAATTTTACATTAATATTAATATAAATTGTTCAACAGAAAAACAATAAAATTATATAAATGTATAGCTCTTCATGTGCCTGCAACATCTGTTCAACTTATAAATAATGTTAAGTACCGGTAAATGCAAATGTACTTTCACTGTAAGTAGCCATCTTTATTCTTATTTAAAGCTGTTAGGGAGACTTGGCTGTAAAAGCTAGTCCATGTTGTGTACTTAAACCTGAAGTTACAAACAAGTATTAAAATATATCTACCTGTCTGTCAATGTTTTTGCTTGTTTTATCAGATTTTTTGGAACTTTTTGTCAAATTTTAATGGTAAAAATTTACTTGTATCTAAGTGGAACAAAATTTGGATTAAAGACACTTTCCTTCTGGCCAATGCAATTTAAATGGGAAGTCCAGATCGGTCATTAAACCATGTAATTTCAATAACCGCTTGATCAATCAGTACCAATTAGTGAACCTTGTGTTGAGAATAAGTTCCTGTGCTGAACACCCGTACAATACATCTGCTCCGTTTGTAACTGCCAGTGTTCATCTGTGCTTGCTCCTTCCAAAGAAACTGCTCAGTAAATACAGCTAAAATGAAAAATAAAATCCAGACTAGGAAATGGCAGAAATAATCCGTCTCAGATGGAACAGTCGATTTGGGTACGAAACAATGTTCCCTCTGTACTTTTAATTGCTGGAACATGGAGCTTAACCGTGTCTACGCAACTTCTAAAAACTCAACAAGACACATGAAACAGGCCCTTCAAAGATGATCATTTACATGAGAACGCAGGGGGAAAAAAACTTAGTGCAAGACGAGCGTAATTAGTTTGACCAGCATGTCATTTGAAATGGCATTAGCAATAACAAATCAGAAAACAATAAAAGATGGGAACAGAGATAAATGAAAGGACTCGTGTTTCATGGTTAAAATGACTGAAATGGATTTGAAATATATGAACGTGTGTAGTTTTAATGCACATATTCAAGTGTGTGTGTGTGTGTGTGTGTGTGTGTGTGTGTGAACGAGAGTCGAGACTTACTGAGTGGGCGTTTGTGTGTAATCATGTACGTCAGGCCGTCATGAATGGTGCGTTTGAGACAGAGCGGAGTGTGGAGTTCCTTGGGCTGAACCAAATTGGAAACAGAAAAACAAACATTCCCTCGGAACCCCCTCTCCCCTTCCTCCTCATCTCACCCCCCCACCCCCGTCTGCTGGCTAGTGGCGCAGTCCAAACCTGTCTGGAACAATGTAATGTTCTATAGTCAGAACGGACCACACACGTTTATAGAGGGGATTGGGGGGGCTACAGAGCACGGGGGTGGTGGCAGTGGTAATGGAGGAGGAGAAGGATTGTGTGTGGGGGGGGGGGGTGCTCAGCCACAATCACAGTTGGAAAAACAGATGGACAGAAGGATTTGAAAGTGAGCGAGAGCTCGTGATGGATTGACGGGGAAAGACGGTGAAGGGAGGGATAAGTGAGACCAGGGGGGTGGGTGGGTGGGGGGGATAAACCTGGCGGTCGTGACGTGTGAAGATGGGAGGAACAAGTGAGAGCAGATGAAGTTTGGATGTTTAATAAAGAAAACACAGAATATGGAACAAAAACAGTCTCTGAGCTAGATGAGTAAGCAGCAGCTCGACTGAGTCAGAGCTCGACAGGAAAAACATTTAGACTTCCACTCACTCATTCAGATCAACACTTTGCTCTCTCTTTTTTCTTGATAATTACTAACGGGCTTGTAGATATTTTCTTTTTCTCAAATCAACCCACTTCACTCACCTCCGATGACATTGGTGAGCGTTGAAGCAACAAGAAGCAGTTCTCGGCCTTCATGTGTGCGTTGAAGACCCCCCCCCCCCCCCCCCCAGAATGCAGAATTATGGGTGTATTTTTGAATTTAGCCCTCTTAGATTAATGTGCAGAGTCACATCGGGACGTGAATGGAAATCCTTTTTTTCCACATGTTTTCTTTCTTGAAAGCCTGAGTGTTTTTAAGCTGGGAGGGTCCTTTAAATGACTCAATTTCAGTAATGACTCATAATGCGCTATTCTTTTCGTAGATTTTATTTTAAACCGCAGATATTCTTTTTCCACATTAAAACACTCCAGTTGTGCTAATGCGCTATTTATAATCTAAAAAAAAAAAAAAAAAAAAGGTAGAACTGCGTGTGGAAGTGGTTTGTATTTCAGATAAATCAATGAAAAGGTCTATCCAAGGACATGTTTTGATTCACAGTAAAAACTGGGATAAATGGGAAGAAAAAGAAGAGGAGGACGAGGTGGCACTGAGCGAGAGAGGAGTGGCACAAGCTGAGAGGGTGGGGGGGATTTTTGTGGTTGGGGCAACAAAAAGGGAAAACCGGAAAGCAAAGAGTTTGACGTTTTACTGCGAAGATTACAGAATAAAGGAAATATTGTTGTCAGTGGTCGCAGCCAGTGGAAATTTGTTCCGTGTATAAAAAAAAAATAAAAATCCCTGGAAATTTCTCATTAACGACCTCCTTGTTCAGAGCCATAAAGCAATTAGTGCAGAAAAAGAGACTAAAACTCAGAAAGTTAGTGCGACCCTGGATCTCGTGGAGCGCTGCTGCAGGCTGTGACAGATTACATTTGTTTTTCTCCACTGCACGGGACAGATTTTTTCAAGTATCCTACGTAACTGTGAAAATAAAGGACCCCCGATGTAATATGTAAGAAACTTTTTCACGCACAGCTTTTTAGGTCGTTAAAGTTTGGTTGAATCAGGGGAAATGAAAGTCCTAGGAACCTGGTTTCACTAAAGTAGAGGCTTCTGCTGTTAAGTGCCACAAAGTCTGCTTTTAGGAAGTTTTCTTATCTGTGGCGTGACCTTCAAAACACTTGTACATTTTAACTGGAAAAAGTCTTAAAGATAAATTGGTTTTGCTGACTGTTCACTCCAGTTTTGATTTAAATCAAATTTTAAAGAGAAAATGTTTAACGTGTGCTCATTAAATAATGCAGAACGTGCTTTAAAAGTTGTTTGTTGTTGTCATTTTCCAGGTTGTTGAGGAGACGGCGCTAACGGGACCCAAGTCAGAGCCGACGCAATAAAACGAGAGCCTAAGATTTCAGACACGGACCCAAAGGCTCGCCTTCGACGCTGCTGTCGGTGACAGACTTTTTGTGAACGAGCTGAACGTTGACTGCTCTGATGTCCGTGGACCGGCGTGGACCTAAAGGGACGGAGGAATACTAGTTTGATGCCTGGTGTCTGTTTTCCATCACTTGGTTGTGGAGTACAGAGGGACGGTAGCCGAACTGCAGGAGTGAACAGGTCTAGCTAATCGGAGTTGATGCTAAAGCTGGGAGTGAGCCATCATGTTTTTATAGCCCGATGCTCAACAGAGGTAAGACATTTGTTTAAAATCACCTTTTTTTTCAGCCTTGCTGTCATAAATTATATAGTTATTTATCAGTAGATGCTAAAATAGCTAACATTAAATTGTTACAAGTTTGTTTTTTTCAGCCTTTTTCAATAAAACTTATTTTAACAAGCATTCACACAGCAATCCTATTTGCACTTCTAAATTCTTCCGTATGTTTTTCAGCATCTTTCTCGTTCCACAATTTTTGTGCTATTTCAACAAATCGTATTTCAAAAGGTTCAGCTCTTTCAGGACAATCCTGTTATGACTTTTGGCATTTCTGCATCTTTAGCTTTTTGAAATATTTAGCCTTTTCTGCCATTTTTTTCCTCCATAGAAAATGAATTTGAGCTCATTTTACATCCTTCAAATATTTAAATCTGTTTACAACCTTTTACTGCTCCTTTCATATTTTGTTCTGGTTCAGCTTCTTTCAGCTTCTTTTAGAAAAAAAAAAAGGGCGGCTATTTTCAGGTTTTTCTTCAGCAGTTTTGTGCTCCCTTCAGCTTCATTCTGCTATCTAGAACATTTTTGTGCTTCTTCTAACTTCTTTCTGCTAATGTCAGTTTGTTAAGCTCCTTTCAGTTTATTTCTGCAAGTTTAGCTACTATTTAGCAGTTTGTATGCAAATTTTAGCTTTTTCATCTAATTCCACGTTTTGCACTCACTTCAACTTTTTCAGCCTAATTCAGCAAAAATGTGTTCTCTCCCCTTGCTTCAGGTAATTGCTTCTTTCTGCCTTTAGCTACTATTCATCTGTTTATTTTTTGCAAATTTCTACTTTTCTCAGATATTTTCCACTTTTTTGTGCTCAGTTCTTCTTCTTTAAGTCCAGTTGGGCACAATTGTGCTCTCTCCACTTCCTTTTGGTAATTTAAGCTTCTGTCTGCTTTTATTAGCTACTATTCAGCAGTTTTTTTTTTTTTTTTTTACAAAATTTCTGAAAAATTTCAGATAATTCCCACTTTTTTGTGCTCACTTATGCTTCTTTCAGTCTAACTGGACACTTTTGTTCTATCTGCATTTCCTAATGGCTATTTAGGGTTCTTTCTGACTTTTTAGCTAGTTTTCAGCAATTTCTTGCTAATTTCTTCTTTTTTTTTTTTTTTTAGCTAATTAAATCATTTTTGGCTTATTTCCACTTATTTCAACCTTATTCAGCAAATATGTGTTCTTTCTGCTTTATTTTGCCCAGTGAGGCTTGTTCTCCCACTTCAGCTAGATTTCAGCATGTTTTTAGCTCATTTCAGCTGTTTTCCAACAAGTTCTTCTGCAATACGCATTCACACTGAATTTTTGCATGAAATGCAATTTCTCTAATTTTCATCTACATTAAAAACACTTTGTAAAATATTTTTTAATATTTGCTGCATGAGTGCAGTTTGTGGTGATGTATATTTTTGTACACACGTTTATTATTTATTTTTATCCCCTGAGTTGTGACTTTTTTTTTTTTTAAAGCTTTAAAACGATCACAAAACTAAATGCACTATTCGTGACAAATAAAATAAGAAGTTTGCAAGTTTCGGCAGATTAAGGCAGCCTCCAGCTGAAGCAGGTTTATGAAGTTTATGTAGAGCTGCTAAGAATCATAACAACTTTTATTAATTGTCTTACCGTTGCAAGAAGTGACTGTCTCTAAATGCGATATATGTGCTGGGTTTCAGTGTGAAGCTCGTTGTGATGGTAAAATCTGCATATAGTGCTGCTTGAATGATCAGTTTTAACATTCGTTAAAAACGCCGTTCTCTCATAGCCACACTTCTACCTGCCCTTCCGTCAGGCCTATTCTGGTGCTTTCCAGTTCAGTAGCCCTCATTAGCTGAGCTCATTAGTTCCTCACGGTAAAATTAGAGGTAGCATCTCGGTCGATTGGTTGGCGAACACAAAATGCTCTTAAATGTTCAGGTAATTGTTAATCAGTGTAACATTTCCTGTGCCTTTAAAAAAATGCATTAAGTAAATAAATACACCTCTAAACTTTGACTTTATCCTCAGGAATCTGTCGGTGACGCACGTGAAATTAGAACAAGTTATCAGAAACAATCTGATACTTTTAGTGGCGGCGATGAGCCATGAATATCTATTTGGAGAATTTTCAGGGTTAATGTCTTTAAGTTGCTTTAAGTAGTTGAGTTATTTTATTCTGCATGCAGGTGGATGCACTACAGGAAATGCAAATAGGTACAGCTGAAGCTAATATGTAAGCGTAGCGTTGGCTGCAGTGGTTTGCAGTGAAAAGTACAGAAATAGTGGAAGTTATTGGTTCTGGTTTAAATGCTGTTTGTTTGTGATTGGAAATAAAAGAACAATAATTGCTTAAATTCTTAGTCTAAACATACAAAGTGTCTTTTTGTTTCTACTCGTGTTTTTTTTTTTAGCGCTTCTTCAAAAACTACGAGCTAGTTTTTGCAGTATTTGTGCCGCGCACGATCACTTCATGGTGCTATTTTGTGTTTCTGTTCAAACTTTCCGTATTCAATCAAAGTTCTGGAGGGTTTTAGTCGACTGTCGTCAAGATAAATGATTAGAACAAGTTACAGTAAGTGCTGCGCTTCTTTTGCACCCTTGAGTGCAAACACATGTGTGTCTGTGATGGAGTGCGAGTTTGTATGTTTTTCATTATGTGGTGTTGCGGCTTTGCGTGGTGATGTTCTTCAGTAGGGTGGATTGCTTTGAGCTGCTTGATGCTTTTAGACGTGGTTTTTGATTGTGTGTGTCCAACGATGTCCGTGCATGTGAACGTACACGCCTTCAGATGTGGACCGCAGATGTTCAGGGATGTACTCTTGTCTGTGCGTGTGCGTCTTGTGGTATTGGATAGTCTTTTATATGCCCCCCCCCCCCCGACTTGCTCTAAACCCAGGAATGTTGAGCAGAGATAATTCAGTCATTCCCACAAGACAGTTTGACAGTTTTGCCGAGCACAAACACACAAACATTCTCATTGCTCAAACGTTTGTTTCCATGATGTGGTGGCCATAGAAGAAGTTCTCCTCTGAGTCCATGTTTTTTCTCATTGTCTGTCAGTAGAAGCTTTATTTGTGCCACATTCTTGCAGTCGGTCTCCTCGACTCTTTTACCGTTATCAAACGTCACAACAGAGCCAGGCTAGGAAGAAAATGGGCCATATTTCAAAGACCAACGGCTTGTTGACCTGTTTGCACAAAATGGGTCACAGGACAGCTCACTTTGCGTCTGACGATCTCGTCTTTTTACATATTTAGAGTAAAAAGTATCGCTTTGGGTTTTACCACAAAACTTGGCCGTCAGTTTGTCTGTGTTTAGGATGGTGAGAGTTATTAATTACCCCATGCGAGCGGGAATACACACACATGCATGAGCACTTGAACACGGTTGGTCTGTTTTTTGTTCTAATTATTTTCAATTAAAGCCTATTAAATATGCAGATAAAGATTTATAAAAGGGGTGTCACCACGTGTCGTGTCAATTAATGACTTAATTTGTTAGTTTGCCAACGATCGACTGGTTTAAAGGACAGAATCGATCAAAGATCAAAGTGGCAGATGCGTGTTTGACCCAGCCCGTTTGCTTCTCTGTCAGCTCTGCTTCTAACTAAAGATCACCAGTGGAAATTGTTTTGTCTGTGAGGTATAATGGCTTCGGACAGTTTCAGAAGTTATGCATCACAATCAAAACCAGTGGGATGTTTCAAAGGAATTCAAGGTATACCACAGTTTTTAAAAGTTAGGGTTACAAATCAAGAAAAAAGTGCTGTGACTAGATGAACACGGTTTATGAATCCCTCAGGTGGTTTGAACCATGGACTAATCCCTCCCCCCTCCCCAAATAGATTAAATTGATATTCATAATTTCTTGTACATTTCAGGACAAAGAAAGATGGAAAATCCTTTTGTGTATCCCCCCGACAAAATGTAACCACAGATTATGGAGGCCGATGTGAATGTCCGTAATGTAACGAAAAAAATAAAACAAAACAAAAAACAACCTATCTTAAAAAAAATAAAAGCAAATATTTGCCACTCAGTAAAGTACGAGTGATACCAAAAATTTTGACAGTTTGGATATTTAATTGTGACACGCTGTTTTTTTATTTAATTTTTTTAATCAAAGTCTAATACCTTCATTTATTAAATAAGAAAAATATAAATAAATACATTATAAAAGATGAACCTTTACTTTTAACTCTCATAGTTCTCAGAATGACTTTCCATATATTTGAATTCCTGATTCCAATAACATGAACAAAGTAATATATTAATAAAGTCACTTTTGCGGGTTTTGTTTTCCTTCAGGAACTTATAAACATGTAAAATATGTTAAACTTTTCTACTGGATTTCAAAGAAAGTACCAAAGTGCATAGCTGGAAGCTTAATTAATTAAACTGTAAACTGGCTAACAAATTATTTATTGACACGTTTGTGCCTTATGTCAATTATATAATTCTCTTGCTGAAATCTTATTCACATATTGCAGAAATCTGGACAATAAAACGTTTATAATTAGCTTTTCTTATTGTGGTATTGTCGTCTACTTTTGGTCAAAGCTACCGTACTTGCTGCCATACACATAGCACCGCTGTATAAGTTGCATCAGTCCAAAAATGTCTAATAAAGTGGGAAAAAAAATCATAAATAAGTCGCTTCGCCATATAAGTTGCATCTATTATGCATCACCGCTGACCACCCGGAAACGTGGGCCGGTGCTGTGCCAAAAAATCAATTGGCTGCCAAATGGCGGCTGCGGGAGCATACACGGGAGGACATTGTAACAAGAATTGAACAAGATTAACGCTTAAAAACAATTGTTTTTGCAAAATTATAGTCAAGGTGTGTGTCATTTTAACTTTTCCTTAATAAATGCACTTTAATATTCAAGTCAGCTGCATTTCGCCTGGGCAGTGCGGCGAAATGCAGCTGATTTAACATTTGCTGCAGGAGTTCTGGAGCGAGATGAAGGAGGCTCTGTATGGCAAGACAAGTGTCTCATTAATAGTCAC